GAACCTTTTTGACAGCGACTAGAAGAAAATTCAAAACAGATGAAAAACTAATCAACCCACTTACATTCTTGACTACAACGTGGACAACTAAATGGAAAAAAAAAAAATTCCAAATCATAAAAAGACTCCTTCGTGAGCAAATATTATAAGCGGTCCTTTAAAAAACAGCCTTTGCTGCTTTGGGATGGTGCCATCATCAAAGACGCATGCTTTCCTGTTCGACATCACCTGCCGGCAGTTGAGGACCCCTTTGCCATCTGAAAAATCAGTAAGCTTTTGTTTATGTGGGTTGTAGCCATCAATATTTACTCTACCAGAAATTAAAGACTGAGAGATTTAAAAAATATTAATTAAAAAAAAAACAATAAACCAATGACATGCTAATGTAAGTAGCATATATATATATTTTTTTTTTTTTTCTTTTTTCCCCTAAAGAACTTACTTTCCTAAACAAAACAAAAAAATAGTGACGCGAGAGTGGCACCATTTTGCATTTTTGCAAATCTCTTCCATGTCTGGCTCAATGGAAAACACCTGGATTCTCACACGGGTGCTTCTGCATCCGATCTGTTCTAATTCCTCCCTTTGGTTGATGTATCTGAAAAAATATGACTTTACATAGATACGTAGTTAGAAAACAGGGGAGAATTTCAATAGCCTTTTTAAGAAATGGTGGATATTCTTAATGGATACCATCTCAAAACTTGACAAATAATGGTTTCTTCAAGGCTAGGTGCAGTGTGAAATCTGAGCCATAGCAATGCAAATTATTCATACTTGGTTACAATAAAATGTGCAAGTCTATCTTGCACTTCGAATGGTTTTTACTGGTGCGTGACTGTATAATGTATGCACTGGTCATTTAGAAAATAATAGTATACTAACATATGCAGATCTTCCAAGTGTTGACACATTTCATTATAACATATTTTAAAACCACATTTGTTTATATCACTGCCTAACTCATTTTAGTTGATGAGTCTTACAATATTGGGAAGCTGTCAGTCTCGCAGTGGCAAATACAAATTTTCCAAACTTCCGATTTTCA